GCGAATGCGCTCCACAATTTCGTGCAGCTGATGGGCTTTGAGCGCATCCGGGGGACCCAGAGGCAGTTGCAGGAAGACCACTCCTCCAATGTGCTCCGATTTATCTGCACTGCGGTCGGTGAAGTAACCCTTGGATATAGTGCGACATGTTGTGTTCAGCAGCGCAGGCACAGCTACTCTGTCCGAGAAGGTGTTGAAGTAGTCGTAAACAGCGCCTGCTAAGCAGGCCAAGCTGAAGTCAGACTCACGCAGCTGCTGGCCAAACAAATGCTGATGGCGTTCGCGCAGCAAAGCGCCATCTATCGATCGACTAAAGGAAACAATTTTGCGCCCTGCATAAGATTTCTTATGTAGGATGTTCAACTCCTTGGTGGGCTGCACGAAAAGAACATCATAGATATTCCTGGGTGCCTTGAACAGCTCATAGCAGATCTTGCAGAGCTCCAGCTGGGCATACAGCAGCAGTGGCACGTACAAATGCAGCCGAGCGCAATAGGTACTGGTATACGGAGTCTGGCCACGGAGCAGCACGTCGCGCAGTGCCAACAACTCACAGTACATGTGATAGGGCAGCAGGAGGAAATGATGCAGCAACTGCTTCCAGAGAAAGCGTGACCAGGTCTTGACTATGTGAACCGGTTGCAGACTGTACAGCAGAGCCGAGCGAGCCACGGCCCAGCTAAGATTGCGCTGCTCCAGCTCATGCTGGAGTAGCACATAAAGCGTCTGCACTACACCCAAATCAGCTCGAAAGCCCGCCGCGCGTCGCTGCCATTTGCGACGCATTGCTCGGGTGCGCCAATAGCCCAAGACCACATTGACCAGCACGATGAGCAGCAGTGAGAGCAGCTGGCTGAGATTCCGTGCATCCGGATGGGCCTTAACGCCGTCGGGTGTGTCGAGAGACTCGAACTCATAGATGAACTGCTGCCAGCGACAGATGATCAGATGCTGCACATGATTCAGCAGCTTGCTGATGTGCTCCGGCTGACGCACAAAGTGGGAGAGCTGCTTGGTATTCGTCGTCCGGGTCAGACCGTCCTGGAGGCCAACAAACGATTTACGTTCGTTGTCCTGCAGCAGCAGCATCTCGCTCACGTGCAGGTCGTCCTCCTCGGCAATGATCAAGTGATGCACCTTGATCAATATATAATAGGGCTGCTCCTGATCCGCATTGGGTATGACGGTCACCTGCCACTGGGGCAAGTCTGAGGGTATATACTTCGCGGCCAGCTCGCTGACGTACTCCTGAATGTTCGACTCGTTGACCGGACGTCCGCGGTATCTGTGCGTGCTGAGCAGCACGTGATTGTTGATATTGAAGCCACTGAAAGCAAGGCATAGTTAGATTCTCTGTGCTGATTCAGCCACACACTGCGACCCACCTGCTGTCGTTGACCCAGGCATAGTGACCCCAGCAGGTGACCAGCTTCTGCCTCAGTTTCGGAAACTTGATCATGCCCATCTTATCCTTGAGCTCAGTCAACTGCAAGGCGTAGGCGCGCTTTATTCTCTCATAGTCACAGACGCCCTCCACCTGGAGCAGGAAGTGAAAGATGCCCGCATTCTTGGGCGTATCAATCAAGGTGCGTATCTTCTTGGACTTGCAGATGGTCAAATTGGGATACTTGATGCTAAGCAGGTAATTCACAAGCTCATTGGTGAAATGCGCACCTGTCAAACAGAGACATAAATCATTTAGTTATAATATTGTATTTCGGCTACGTTTCGTCTTATCGTCTTGGTAAAATTTTTAATGAGTAATTCATTTGGTCAAGGTTCAGCGTGGTCGCTCGTCTGGGTACTACAAAAGGTGCAACAGGTATTATTTATAAACAAAGCTTATCAGTGGCGTATGCTGATGTACCCGCCCCCGCCCCTCTAGCGAGCCCCCTCATCGACCGTCAGAGTTGTAGACCTTATCACTGGCAGGCTAGCTACTGATGCGTATCCCATTAAGCGAATAGAGCAGAACCATCCCATCCTTTGGGTGAATGGAGCGGTTAATCAACCCATGCCTCGTTTATTTATAGCCGGCCTGTTTGATCTGTATCTGCAACGCCTGCTCGTCTGTTGACCGGAAAGGCTTCATACTAAATGGAATACTTACACACAAACGAAAGCAGCAGCAGTGGCAGCAACATAAGGGCCACCATGAAGCAGAGTAGAGTCTTTAGGAATGACTGGCACTCCTGCCAAATACTGTCAAAAACGACGCACTGTTAAAATGAATGCAGAATGCAGAGACTAGTTACTATATGATACCTTTCCATTTTGTATTGCTGCAGCTATTATACTATAAAGATCTCTATATATATGCTTATGTTGCTGCTGCTTTAGCTTTGTCTATCACTTAAAACGTTCGTTCGTTTTGCTGTACAAGGCACGACTGATCAGACAGATCGCAGCTCTGGCGAAGCTTCCACCAACGCTTCAAGTCTCTTATCAATGCGGTAAACAAATGATAAGGTTGTTCCTGCCGGCCAAGCAGTATATCAGCTGCTTTATAATATTCAATTAATTAATGTAATATGGAAATATTTTTCATTACTCAGCAATTTCATTGGGAGCATTCTGAAAATTGTAATTAATCTAGTCAGCTAATTTCATTTATAGTTAACGAGCAATTTGATTGACTTGCTTGCAATAATGAGATCTTAATATTGAGGATTCAGTATTCATAGCTCGTAATGTATTGCTATTAGGTAAAAATAAAACTGTGGCAAGTATTTGTTTGATGTATTATCTATTATAATTAACTAAGTGAATATTCCTAATCTGGAAGAGATCCTACAAGAACTTTAATATCTCGTTTTAAACTTAACGTACAGTTCAATCAAGCCGTTGTCCAAGCGCGCCCAATTCCTGCGAATGGTTCGTACTCAAACGTTTGCATGTGAATGTCAAACAGCTGTTTGTTGACTTGTTTACCAACGTTATTATTGTTTACATTTCGGATTTTGAGCAAAGTTAAATGCAATGCTGCAAACACCTATTGTTCAGCCCACTTTACATCAACCACTGCACTCCAAGGTGTCCAATTACCTGAATAATCAACGTAGGACAGGACAGTTTTGTGATTTGCAGCTAGAGTTGGATTCGGATGATGCGTCCTGCACATGCAGCGTGCATTTTTGCGTGGTTGCTGCACAAAGTCAACTCATTGGCCTCAATCAGCAGAAGCAACAGCAGTTCTCGATTCAAAATCCACTAAAAGTCACAATACGCAACTTTAACTGCACCGTGTGCCTGCACACCATCGTGGACTTTTTCTATGAGGACATTGTCTCCGTTTCCAAGGAGCATGAAACGCACTTTCGGGAGTTGGCGAAAATACTTTCTGTAACTGAGTTGTTGAATTTGTATCAAATAGATCAAAGCAGCGATGATATTGTGGGAGTGGAACCATCTGCCGCGAAACCGGGCGATGTGGAGGATACTTTGCAGCCGGCTAACAAAGCAGATGTGGTCTTTGAGAATCAACAAAGCTATTTCAAGGTAAGACAGCGCTGATTTTTTTTAAGCAATTCCATTAAACTATCCTCTCAATTGTAGCTCAAGAATCCACGCGCCGTTAAGTCAAGCAGCAAAATCAACTACTGCATTGGCTGCGACTTTAAATGTTATCAGGTGCAAAAGATGATTGATCACATGACCAACTGCGAGCCGTCCCACCTCACCTGTTCGCTCTGCGAAGTTGGCTTTCTGGATTGGCGAGAATATGACACACACTTGCGTCGCCATGGCTCCGATCTCCGAAAACCCTTCTTCTGCCTGCAGTGTGATAATCGCTTCAGCACTCGGGCCGCTCTGCTTATCCATCAACCGAAACACACAACGGAAACGCCGCATGTTTGCACGCATTGTGGCAAGGCCTTCAAGTGGAAGCAGGGCCTGAGCAACCACATGCTGGTGCACAATCCCGAAAAGCAAATGCTTTGCGATGTCTGCGGCTACAGCACAACGCACATGAAGGCTCTAAAGAGTCACAAACTTCTGCATACTGGCGAGTTCTTTGCCTGCACATTCCCTGGCTGCAAGCATCGGGCGAATCGCAAGGAGAACATGAAGCTGCACATTGAGACACACAAACAGGGACGAGATTTCATTTGTGAGGTTTGTGGCTGCAAGTTCAGCCAAAGCAAGAATCTCAAGCGACATGCCCTCAAGCACACAGAGGGCGGCCTCAATCGCTACAAGTGTCAGCTCTGCGGCTTTAGCAGCCATCGCTCGGACAAAATGAAAGAGCACGTGCAGCGTGTCCACACGGAGCGGGCGGTGCAACTGGAACTGTCGGAAACAGTGGATAGCTCGTTCGAAAACAAGATGCCAGATGACTTTGCATTACCGCCCATCGATGCTATGCTTAGGAGCAGTGTGAAGGAGCCTAAGGCGACGGGCTCACCACGTCGCAAAATAGAAGCGGCAACGCCAACCGTGAAGCGTTTGAAGACTTTGCTGCCTAAGGAAACTATTAGCTAGGAGAAACTTGAAGCTGAAGGAGCAGTAAATACCTCTATGAGGCATTGATACTTGATTGATATACTTAAGTAGCTTAAATATTTCATTAATTGACAGCTTTTGCCAAAATCTAACAGAATAGACGGGGTGATCTAACAGTACCAGCTAAATTGATTCCTGTGTGAATGTAAATGGGAACTCCAGATTAGTTGACATTACAGAAATATTTCTCATTAACGTCTTGATCACCGGCATTTGCGATTGCTATATAGAATTCCTATTTGCCATTCTTCCTAAATGACTAAAAGAGTTAAAACCAGAATATTATAAAACATTTAGTCAACCAGATCACATATACGCCAACGCCTTAACTACTCTGTATGTACTCAAAGAGTCAACAAAAATATATTGCGCACTGCTAAAAAGCTTTGTGAGAGCGATAAATGTATGGATGGAAAGAGAGCCGAATGGAGGTTGTTTAAAGCTTTCTTGAAACACTACACTACGTAGCCACAATCATTGTGATTGCAGAGCTCGAACCGCAAAGACACGTAAACTCTTTAATAAAATTCCAGATTTGTATTGAAAATAAATCGACATGTCTGAGGCAAGCTGCGATCAATATGAGCACTACAATTATGATCATGACAAGCACATGTTCTCGGGGCACAGCGGCAAGCAGCGCACCAAGAAGGAAGCCAGCGAGCACACCAATCACTTCGATCCCTCCGGCCACTCCAGAAAGATTCTAACTAAGCTTGTCAACACGAACAACAACAACAAGAAGGCGGCGTGCAAAAACTGAATGTTATATATGTATACATATAAGTAAATTTAATCAAATCGAATTTTAATTATACTAAAAATGTTGACGAAAAAGTGAAAGGCTCTGGGGGAGAAAGTGAGAAGCTGCTTATCTTTGGCTAAAAATAATAGCTTGTCATCGATAATAAATGTTATTAATATTGCTTTAAATTTAGTTGATTATATATACATACTATAAATATAATAAAACTCAATATTTGTGTATATGAGTAATAAATATAAATAAGAGTCTTTTATAGAATATAAAGCTATACATATTTGAGATCATACTTTTATCATTTACCAACAAGATTATAGTTTGTTTTATTTAGAAGGTAATATTTGAGTTTGTTTAATGACTAATTAAATAAGAGACGCTTTAAATTGGTCGTCCATATAATAATTAAAGTAAAGATCAAAGCATATTTAATTTATTGCATCCATTTAACATGTCTTTATTAAGTTCTTTAGAATCACAAACAATTTCATACAAGAAATGAATGAAAAACAGGTCCACTCTAATGCTACTCGAATTTCTTTGCCGGCTTTTTCTCTCGATTTGCCGGTTTCTTACTGCGCAGTTGTTGATATTTGGTAAACAAAACAAAATGAAGAAAAAACAACAAGACCTCGCTGGTTATCAGGTGTTTCTTCTAGTTAGTCATAATCATTGTGAACATCATTATCAGGTATGTAGACGTTTGCAATTGTTCAGAAATACAATTTTTTACTACGCTCTTACAGAGTTACGAATCGTTACAAATGAATTCACCTTGAACATGTTTGTTTTTAGTTGATTTTTTAGGAAAGTTTTATCACTAACCAGAGAGCACATAGACCGGACACGTAGTGTAAAGTGTTTTGCACACTTATTTTCGAGGGTAATCTCCCAGTCAACTTCGTATTTGCTCGGCTCATCACTTTTAGGGGTCGGACTACAAAAATATGCGAGAGCACAATCATTTCGCTTTGTGCGCTCGACCGAGATGGTCGTTGGTTGAACAAAAGATGCCTCTACGCTCAATGTTTCCCTTGCTCTCTCTCTCTCGATGCTCTTTGCTCTCTCAAATGTGTATATGTGTGTATGCAT